ATTGATAAGAATTTTACAGCAAATATTCATTCATTAGTTGGCTAAGCCGCGTATTTTGTTTTGTCCACCATTATACCCCAAGTTGAACAGTTAAAAGTTAAGTATGTTTCCTATCAAATAAAGTTTCCGTAATTTCGGTGAGAAAAAAATAGGAAGGATTTTATATCTCGTTTATTACTTAATGGATTGCCTTGATATTTAGTATGTGAAGTAAGGATCCCATAGAGAACATCCACTCAAAATACGTTATAGTTTGTTTTACCACAGTCCGAGCTAAAGAAAATGGAAAATAGCTAAACTATCACTCCTGTTAATAACGCACAGTGTGTCATGCAGGTTGTTTTTGGCCGCACGACACATTACGCACTACCGTGTGTCTTGATTACTCAAAAAAAAAAAATCAGCTAGTAACTTATCCTGAAACTGAGCATTAGCAAGATGTCTTAGAGACGTGTAATTACCATATAAAGTGCTTCGCTCAGCAATGCCTTTCACTTCCAAGGGCATTCAGAGCTTCTATACAAACACAATAATTTAATTTTCTGAAGTTTCTCAAAGATTTTTGTTTGTTTAAAGTTGTAATGAAATAGTATCTGAGGAGGGCGAGAACTTACTAGAGGGTGAATATTGTTAACCTGAAAAAATAATTAAAATGAGTTAATAGAGCTGATAGTTGGTATACTCTTTTAATGAATCATGAGTTTTGTTACTCTGAAAAAATAATTAAAATGAGTTAATAGAAGCTGATAGTTGGTAAACTCATTTAAAGAATCATGAGTTTTGTTACTCTGAAAAAATAATTAAAATGAGTTAATAGAGCTGATAGTTGGTAAACTCATTTAAAGAATCATGAGTTTTATTACTCTGAAAAAATAATTAAAATAAGCTAATAGAGCTGATAGTTGGTAAACTCATTTAAAGAATCATGAGTTTTGTTACTCTGATAAAATAATTAAAATGAGTTAATGAAGCTGATAGTTGGTAAACTCATTTAAAGAATCATGAGTTTTGTTACCCTGAAAAAATAATTAAAATGAGTTAATAGAGCTGATAGTTGGTAAACTCATTTAAAGAATCACGAGTTTGCTCAAAATGCAAACTATTTTCCACTATATTATATTATACTCCAGATGTCAGTAACAAATAACCTATATCAGTGATTTTTCGATTCTAAATTTGAAATCTGAATGCACGTTATGAGATTCATATAAATAGACTCTACGGACTCTGAATACGTGAGAAACATGGCAAGAGCAGTGTAGTTAAGTTTATAGTTCTGACAGTAAATTCTAAAGCATTCTTCGAGTCATATGTTCACTCAGTGTTATTGTTCTTACGGGCGTTTTGTCTTAAAGCTGTTATCTTATTCGGATGATTCAATGTCTCTTCCTCTTTTTTATTTTCTGGGTTACATACAAAACAGATGTTCTGATGAAGTTTGTAACCACATTAACTAGCAAGCCATTCTGAAACACACTTTGGGACTAGAAGCTTGGCATGCCAATATTTACCAAGTTACAGAGTGAACGAGGCTTTATTAGCCCTAGGAAAAGACATGACACCTGAAACAACAACACGGTTTGAAGCTAAACTCGTACAAAGAATCTTACAGCTAATCAGTTAAAAAAACATTCTTGAGTTTGTAATGAATTCAAAGCGTTGTCAATAATCACCACTAGGAGTCCCAATTCCTGCAATAGAGATAATATATTAAAAGTAAACACATGTCTTTGTGCCCAAATGTATTTTTTTTTGGCGACTATTTAAAATTTATATTCTTCAAATTGTAACATGAATTCTTCTGGAATTGGCCAATCACGAGTGGAGAATGAAGCTTCTAAATACTAAACATTTTTGAAACTGACCAGAGATCCATGATGACTGGGCATCATTTGATGACGCAGAAGCATTCAGTTGGTCTTTCTACCATAACGACTGGACATCATTTGATGACGCAGAAGCATTCAGTTGGCCTTTCTACCATAACAACTGGGCATCATTTGATGACGCAGATGCATTCAGTTGGTCTTTCTACCATAACGACTGGACATCATTTGATGACGCACAAGCATTCAGTTGGCCTTTCTACCATAACGACTGGGCATCATTTGATGACGCAGAAGCATTCAGTTGGCCTTTCTACCATAATGACTGGGCATCATTTGATGACGCAGAAGCATTCAGTTGGCCTTTCTACCATAATGACTGGGCATCATTTGATGAATCATTGGATGTGAAATAGCTTGTTCGATATTGCGCTTAATTAAAAGCTCGAAGATTGAATTTTAATGATACAAAGATACATATTGTGTTGTACTGTACGAATATTACATTCAGATCCCTAACTTTTAATATATTTTATAATGGAAAGTTCAAATTCCAGTAACTTCATTTGCTTTCCACATACTAACACAAGCACATGATGTAACATATAAAAATGTTCATCTTATTGTTGGTAACGTCTTAATAACCTAGTCTTTGCCTAGACAAACCCATTAGCAATTTTTACATTTTGCCCCCCCCCCAGTGGCAGCGCAGCGGTAAGTCTAAAGGCTTAAAACACTAAAAATTGGGTTTCAATACCCGTAGTGGGCACAGCACAGATAGCCCACCGTGTGGCTTTTGCATGACTACAAACAAACATAACGGTCAACATTGTTCTTATTTAATGTTCCATAAGTATGTAAGAAAGATGGTGAGATTTTGGCCAGAGCTTCACGTAAGCTTTTCCAGAGAATAAGGCTCTATTTAAATGTCCGAGTTACTTACAGGTTTATTTTTTTTATAGGCCCAGAGATCGTTAACTTACGGAACTTTGTTTCACAGTTATCAACTTCTCTGTAAATTAAGTTTGAAAGTTACGAGAATTCACTAGCTTACGTAAATTAATCATGTTGTTTCTAAGTTACTTATTAGGTTGCTGTGATAGATATTGGTCCCATTGTTTTTTTACTAACTTGTAAGACAACTTTGATATCACAGAGATGTTGTCTAAGTTTACGGAATCTCTCGCGTAGCTCAGCACTTGAAGAAACATTATTTTTAAAACTTCTTTTACATTGAAAAAAAAAACAAACAATATTTTCAATGCCAATTTTTCTATTGCACAATGGTATATTTAATTAAATAGAATGGAATAATATTTAGTTATATTTGTATATTATATATATGCCCCCCTCCAGGTGGCTCAGTGGTGGGCAAGGCGCAGATAGCCAATTGTGTAGCTTTAAGCTTAATAACACATACACACACACATATATATATATATATATGAATACTATAAATAATTTAGAACTCATTAAGTGTTCGACGACTCATTTATAAGAATTCAGACCCTCTTCTCCCCATCCACCTACTCAACCTTTAAATGGCAGCCACGAAGCTCAACGTAAACTACTCTAAACTCCTAACCACTGGGTTCGCTGATCACAGACCTACTTACTACGTAAGTCAACTTATCTACACAAAATACTACGATTAATACAAAACAGAAGATAATTAATTAATGACATAACGCTTAGAATTAAGTAAGGATGACATACCATGTTTATTAACAAGATGGGCAGATTCTCTACTCATATCCTGCTCCTTAGTAATATTCGATACCCGAGAGGCGACAAATGGTAGATAAAGAATTTGACCACCTGAAACATAAGAAAGTGGATTACGGTTTTCTTTCGAAATAGCATTTTTATTTACTTAACAAATATAAAATATCTTAGACCTCTAACGGTACAATCTAAACATAACTTCAGAAAAGAAACGTTTTTTTTTTTACCCCTATTTCTCATTATTAATAGCTAATTTAATGTAAGATAATACCGTGGATAGCGTTAAACGGTGTTTAAAAAACTCCAAGAAAATGCCTAAGAAAATCTACCTCTTTAGAAGGAGCAAAAAGAGAAGTATTTCTTTATATGATTAATAGAACATTGTTGTTCCATTATTAAATAATGCTTCACTTTTATTTCACATTTTATTTTACTTTAACTTTCTTTCACCCTGCAATTTCAAACTTTATTTTAAATATTTAAAAGATTTACATGTCGAAGAGAAACTCCCCTGTATGGAAGGACTAGGCTTCCTTTCTTTACAGTATTACATTTTATGAGAAGTAATAGGTAAGTTACGTAAGAACTTATTACAGCAAGTAGAAGTGTGGGTATTTATCATTATGCAGGATGGAGAGTTGAGGGTTAAACCCATAGAAATGTGGGTATTTATCATTATGCAGGACGGAGAGTTGAGGGTTAAACCCATAGAAATGTGGGTATTTATCATTATGCAGGACGGAGAGCTGAGGGTTAAACCCGTAGAAATGTGGGTATTTATCATTATGTAGGACGGAGAGTTGAGGGTTAAACCCTTAGATACGTTAACCCGTTTAGTCGATAGTCCACAGACGTGGACAAACCTAGAATAAAAACACATACAACTGTTTTTAACATAAAAGCAACATATTATATTTGTTTACAACCGAGGGTAATACGTTTTACTTTAGATATTTGAAATATGGCGATCAAGTTATTCAAGAGTTAGGCTTTTCAGAAAAGTATGAAGAACAACTTGTGATAACGCAGCGTTGTTGTGATGCCACAAAAAAATAACCACTTTCACATTTCTATAAAAGGTAGCCAACAAATTACGTTAGGTTACTTTAATATTTAGTTAGATCAAGTAAATACAATCTCCGGTATGAAAATGTTTCATGTTCAGAGGTATTTGTTAGACATACCATGTGATAGAGTAGGTTGTAAAAATGGTAATAATGCTGGACTTTCTTCACACCCTGGTAATAATACTGGACTTTCTTCACACCCATTCTTGTCTAATGTCAAGTCCAAGTTCGGTCTTTCCTGTGACGTACTTGTACGGCAGTCCTCGGTATGCAGAGAAGTGTGTGTAGATGAGTCGCTTGTTGAAAGGGATCGTACTCTGTTCTTAACAGCTACTTTTTCCTTCTTCTCAGAAAGAGCTACGTACTTGTGTTTTGTTTCCACGCTAAATAACTCGTTCTTCTTCTTAACCAGTAAACGTTTTTTGACACAAGGGTAGCAACCTTTCGGTAAAATGATATTTATGTTTTTTGCAGTGAGAAACTCCTCATTTACTGAATTAGGTGGTGAACTAACCTTGTACCAGGCCGTTACCTCTTCGTCTCTATCAACATCACAACACACAGTGCACCATACGGTGTGACCTATAAAGGAAAATATCAAACGACCATACTTAAAATTATAATAATACTAATTACACGATATTACACGGTAACACTGTAATAAAGTAGCAACAGTATCAGAAAGAAAGTACATTTACGTAATGTAAAAGAACATCAGGGAAGTACAAATAATCCGTTATACACTAAGCCTAATTGTAAATTCCCTATAGATTTCATTATTCCTGCCTTTTCCCAAAACTTCTATATGTACAATACACAGATTTATACGGCAAAAAACTTTAAAAAAATCACTCAACGTGCTGGAAAATACGTCGACCTGTGTATGTTTCGGAGATGTATGTTAAAGTATGCCAGCAAATATTGATATAACGAGAGTGAGTGTGGGATATGGTCGGCAGATAAGAAAGAGGTGGAAAGAATAACTTAAAACAATAATACAAATGTCAACAATAATAGGTTATTTACTTATGTCATAATTCACGAATAAGAATAAACTGAGAACTGCCGCGACCTTTCGTAAAGTCAGTCATGCTATAGCTATGAAGTGCATAATAATCCAATGACTCAAATGTATGCGTCAAGTTCAGTTAAAATCAACTTCGTGAATACACTATCGGGAACAAACAAAATATGACAGTCTCTTGACAGAATTCCTCTCATAAAACACTGCTAGAACAGAACTAACTTAGCTACAAACAAAAGAAACATCGTACACAACTTGACCTTAGAACAAATATGTACAACGAGTGATACTTCCGTCCCAGAAACCTAGTTAATGTAATGTCAGTTATCTTGGTTTTAATTCTGTAATCCATTTCAGAAAATTATGTTTGCGTGATGTCACTGTTCTTAGTTTACAGTGTATCTTCCATTCCAGAAATAAAACGAACTAAGAAAACAAGCACTTATACGCAATTTAAGCAGAATACAAATCTATATAACAACTGCTCACGACACAAATAAACTAATCTTGTCTAGTTTCATCACACGTCATAAAACATAATTACAAATATATTAACAGCTTTGTATTGTCATAAGCATTAGTGACCGACTTTCGAGATACTAAGGTTGAACAGAACCAAAAGAAATACGGAGTCTAAATAGTTATACATTCGAAAAGTATAACATTGCAAAGATGCTGGTGTGAATTGGTTAATAACATATTGCTAAGGTCGACTAAAGCCTAGAAATACACGTTTTATTAACGTGTTAAAATGAATAGATTTGATATGATGACTTTTATGATTCTTACCTTACTGATCTTCAAGTGATCATAAAGTTAAGATTAATTTTGTAACTGAACTTGAAACTTAAGACGTAAAAAAACATCAAATAAAAATGTACACACTGCTAGAGTTGTGGTATTTCCCCCAATTCGCATTTCTATCTAACCATACAAGGTTTGTTAGGTTTGGTTTGAATTTCGCGGAAAGCTACACGAGGGCTATCTGCGATATATTCTTTCTAAAAGTTATTTTAAAACTGAAACCGGTAATGTTGATACTGTAAGTACTCATCACACTTTCAAAGGTTTCAATTGGTCATCACTCCTACAAAATTTTCAATTGGTTATCCCTGTTTATGTATAACACCACTCCTTTAAAAAATTCAATCAGTCATCCCTGTTTATGTGTAACACCACTCCTTTAAAAATTTCAGTTAGTCATCCCTGTTTATGTATAACATCACCCCATTCAAATTTTCAATTAGTCATCCCTGTTTATGTATAACACCACTCCTTTAAAATTTTCAATTAGTCATCCCTATTTATGTATAACATCACTCCTTTAAAATTTTCAGTTAGTCATCCCTGTTTATGTATAACATCACCCCATTAAAATTTTCAGTTAGTCATCCCTGTTTATGTATAACACCACTCCTTCAAAATTTTCAATTAGTCATCCCTGTTTATGTATAACACCACTCCTTCAAAATTTTCAATTAGTCATCCCTGTTTATGTATATCATCACCCCATTCAAATTTTCAATTAGTCATTCCTGTTTATG